TGAAAATCCACACAAAATTGGCAGTGTTGAATGAATCACTGATAAAAATTGAAGTGTGATTATTGGTAATGATATTATAAAGTTGCAGTAAAGAGAAAAAGATTGAAAACTAAGTGTTGGTGAAAACTGCAGCAGAAGTCACCCGGTAAAAAGGTGAACAATTTTAGAACTTAGTAATTATTGAGGTTGTTGTTGTGAAAATAAGGGAAAAAACCTTTAACCTTTATTAAAATAACTTCTGTGGATTTTAGAAATATATAAATAGGTTAAACTGGTGTAAAACAAAACTGATTTGAAATCGTGCTGTAAATAAGTTACAGAATCTGTGTGGTGGAAAAACAAAATGAATAGATCTTGAAGTAGTGTGTAAAAGTTAAAGGACAAAGAATTGTGGAAAAGGATCTAAGTGAGTGCTGGGATAATCAATTTGAGGCGAAATAAATTGCAGCTTCAAGTAATTTATCACCGCGGGACATTGGAGGCTTTTGTCACGAAGTGGGTCAGTAGTGTTCACTTGCGGTTGCTGGCACGGTGATTTAATGCCTCGAACTAGTTACTCGTGTGACCTTAAAAATGTTAGTAGCACTGGAGAGAGTTACTCACGGTCATTTTTGCTTGAGCAGCCGTGGTGTTTGGTGGGAAAAGAGAAAATCGGTCTGTTTTGCAAAAGCAATTTTGTTAGTTATGCGCCAATTCCAAGCGGCGGGCTCCTTCTGGGCCGACAGATGTAGCGAAGCGTGCTCGGGGGCGGCCTCGCAAGTCTTCCCATCAAGATGCGTCGGTGGTCACAGCCCTTGCAGGGTCCAGTGCACTGCAGCTTGCGTCACCTGGTCCGGAAACCACTATATTATCATTGGCTACGGTCGGAATGATTCCAGATGTGAGTGCGAGTGTTGAGGCTACCCATGCAACACCAGCGCCCGCGACCATCAGTCGGCCTGGAGGGAGTTCGGCGCAAACTTTGGAGCAGGGTAAGTCCCAAGCCCCGCAACCTTCCAGTTTCACGTCCGTGGTGTCAGGAACTTCAGCTCCAAGCACATTGTCAATTACCTCCTCTTCCGATTTGAATATGGCATTAACTAGCATCTGTGACAATCAACATCTAAAAGACAAAATTTGGAGGGGGAAGTATGTACATGTAGAATTCGGAACCTTGTTGAAGTCGTCGCGCGACACAGGCTTGGATAATTCCTTTGACGAGACGCTTTTTACAATTGGGTCCAATGAGTCCCCACTTTGGCAGATTCATCCCCATAAGGAGGCTCCGCGTATTTCGTCTGTCGAGCAGTGCACGTCAGCGTATCTAGTTTTTGCATCTATGTATTTGTTGCGACATCCTACCCATGCTCGTTCGTTACTGAAGTACGTAGACACTATTCGATCCCCAGCATTTCGACATGTGGGATATGGTTGGCGCGAGTACGACATCCAGTTTCGACTGCGCCAGGCACATGTGCCGTCACGCTCTTGGGCAACTATTGATGTCGAACTTTGGCTGGTGCTGCTTGGTGCGCCCATTTCACACCAGCGTAATTTTCGTCCGTATCAGCAACACNCTCACAATCTCGCGTCACAGCACGGGTGCCGGCAGCTGGCATCAACCCCGATAAAACTAAGTAGTAAGCTCCCTTTTTTACGGGCTTACCCTAATACTCAGGACTCCCACATTTTGCAAGAAGGGTTAGTACCTCTGCTCGTAATTGTGCATTTGCTCGCAAACATCCCAACATTCTGCAGTCAAAAAATGATCATGAAGTTGCTTTGGGTCGCGTTGCTGGCCTGTTTTTGTCCCAGCCTCTTCCTCATTTCCATTGCTCACCTATGGGCCTGGTGCCCAAACAGACTCGGGTGAATTTCGGTTAATCCATAATTTGTCATCCCCTATTTGGCAAATCAGTGAATGATTTCATTGATCCCGCAGACACCACCGTTTCATACACGAGTTTTGATGAGGCGATAACTAGGTTTACCATGCAGTGCCCTAATGGCTAAGTCGGATATTAAGTCAGCCTTTCGTTTACTTTCCGTCCATCCAAGCGATTTCGATTTGCTTGGTTCTTCCCATAACGGCCTATTTTATTTCGATAAATGCATGCCTATGGGCTGTGCTATATCCTGTGTTACGTTCGAGCAGTTCAGTACTTTCCTTGAGTACTGTACTCGTAAGGTGGCCAAATCTCCTAACATTGTGCATTATTTGGATGATTTCCTGCTCGTTGGGGCTAGTCATGCCGAGTGCGCACGTTCCCTCCAATCTTTCAGAGTAGTTTGTCAGCGATTTGGGGTACCCATCGCAAGAAAAAAACGAAGGTCCAGCTACAAACCTCACTTTCCTGGGTTTAGCGATCGATACGGTTGCACGACAGATTCAAATCACGACTGATAAGCAAGTTGCTTTACAAAATATAATTGTGAGTGTGCTCGATCAGAAGAAAATCACGCTGCGCAATCTTCAGTCCCTACTAGGTCGTCTCAA